GCACTCACTTGGGCTGCCTCTTTAGGTCGCTATGCTATAGTGTGAGGCCTGTATGTCTGAGTTTTCGTACACCTTTATACACAGAAGAGATCCGAGCCGCTTGATCACCTGTGTACAATATGCCCGCCTACACTCGACGCATATCCGTCACATAATCTTTTAATAATACGCAAAAATTAATTTTAAGATATGTACGCCTTGATATGCTTGAAGGTATACTGTTTACTGACGAATACCATTTTTACCGTATTCTATCTTTCCATCGTGTTCCCTTAATCGTCAAAATATATCTTTAATTTTTCATAAAATACATTATAAAATAAGATATTCGGATAATAATAATGTGATTTTTTATCACTGAACCAAAACTGTACAATAAAATGTTTATTGAATTAATGAAAATTAGTCCAATAAATATTTTCATAATAATTTAAATTATAAAACTATTACTAGAATTTATTGCAAGAATAAATATTTAATTATATATTAATGAATCCCCAGTTATTGTATTAATAAATTAACTTCATTAAGTTCGACATTAAGTTTAACATTTTGATTAACGATCATTTGTTGTTCACCAAAATTTTGTTCAGTGTTTATATCGATCAAAAGAATAATATATGTTTGTATTTTTAACTAATAAACATATTTATTTTATAAATAGGTGATAATGCTAATAAATTATGCGAAAAGGTAGCTCAAATTTGTGCAAAGCTGGACTGGAATATTTTCGTTCCGTAAAAAAGGAATCTTACAATTCCTGAAGATCGAAGCTGATCTTCAGCAGTACGAGAGTAGAACACTGTATTACCGGCAAACCTCGTAAACGGCCATAGCAGCAAGTGGGGGTTCCTGGGAAGGAGGGATAAACGAGCCGAGCCACGATTTCGTTGTCGTAAACGTCAAAGTTACGGTTACAGCGTTGTTCCTAGCTGCTTTATATTGAACGAGGTTGCTCCCCGAGGTACGTAACACCTACCTACCTACTCGCAACCGTCGTATTGCAGAAAGTAGCACTATGCTCCTTTCCAACTCGGGAACGACGCGGTCACCACGTGGCTTTTACGCGGGAATTCGACAGAGGAGTTCAAGGTTCGTTGAATATCCTTTTAGCCATACCACGCGCTTAATATTAATTTTCTTTTTATAATTTATATACTTACAAACGAATTGTGCTTGTTCAAATGAAAATCAACGTCGATTACCATTCTTTTTTTATCTCTTTGATTTAAATTGATTTAAACAGATCGTTGAATCATTTGCAAAAATTGTATTATATTAATTTTTTGTAAATCAACATTTGTTTAAATTCAACGGAAGTACAGAATGTAAACTTTGAAAACGGAAGCTATGTTAATGGTATTTATCCGGCATATTTATCTTCATTAATACTTCTGTATCAAGTTATCATCCCTTAATGTAACTTTAAAAAGGTTCCTTTTTTAGATTCGCACCGTAAAAGAGGTTCGCTCTCAATAGACTGGAATGAAGAGATGCCTAAATAGCACCCCAGCCTCTGTCGTCGCGCCCTCTAATTACCCTGTAGACGCAGTCACCCCTCAATGAGGAGTGATAAATATGTTCGCGTTTGGGTATATCCCGAGAAAGTGAATGAACGCAATAAAAAAGATATATACATATATATCTCTCATTGCTATTGGTAAGTATATCGAAGATTGTTTGCTGCTTTTAATTTAAAGATTTCCTATTTTTACTATTAAGAATAGAAAAAAACGAATTTTAATATTAATATATATAAAATATTAGAAAAAGGATTTAAAATGTAAAGATGGAGAGTATTTATTAAATCTATTTAATAAATACTATTTAATAAATCTAAAATCTGCTTACAAACAAAATATATATGAAAAAAAATTATTTAAATCAAAGATCACTTTTATTTTCAATAAAGTGCTTTTATTGTTGATTAAATATTTATATTTTTTTTACTTAAGTTAATGAATACATAACCTTTATACATTGAACTTTTCATCGTCGTGTGTATCTGTTATGAAATTAACCGTATTGATACAAGAATGTGAAGTATACAAGTATTACAAGACAGAAGATAGATATAAAAGTAGATAGTTATCTATAACATATTAATTCTTTCGTGCGCGCGAGCTATAAAGCGCGAGCTTTCTGAGCGATTTACGAAATGTCCATTAACAAAAAGGAAATAACGACAATGTGTACGTAAACATTTAACGTTGGAAATATTTTTCATAAAAAACAAAATTATAAACTTATTCTTTTTATATGGAATATATATTATACTAGACTTATATTATGGATGGCTATCTACCGCTTTCATATTTATATGAATTGGACGTATAATCGATCTCGTAATCGTTTATCATACATTTACGATACACAAAGGTGTAGTTAAAAGCGCGATAAATTAAACGACAGATGCAGTATCTCATACTATAGCATGTATTCTAGCTATATAATTATCTTTGCCGCGATAAGTATTTAAAGAATGAATAGAGACAATAGACACATACATCAATTTTTAGTATTTCGCAATAGCCGCGGTAAAGGTTTAAATGGTAAGACTTGTAATATCTATTATATTATTGTACCACAATATAAATTATATATTATACTAATTTAATTCTCTCTAATATAGTCACATTTTGCATTATATGTTTGAAAGAGATTTTTTAAGCGTTTTTAATTAGACATTTTATATAGTAAAGAGCAATATATGAAACTTTATAGTGTCAATATATAGGATGCGTTCGTTTATCACGCTTACGCGCTGTAAGCTTCATTCAATCTTTTTTCTACAAGTACCGAGCAATAATGAAGCTTGCAGCGCGTGAGCGTGTGAAACGAACGCAGCCATAGTGATAATAAATTATACATTTATCATCTAATCTAAATATGATTATTCAAAATATTATGGAAGCTACGACGTGTAAATTAATTTTCTACAGCGGAGGCTATAAATTGGGATCATTCATCGTGAATGCGATGATAGATGATTGCCGATAGACATTGATAGCTCTATATTTAACTGCAAATCTACGACAAATTAATCTATAATCCTGTACCGATAAATTTCATATGTGTTCGATTCAACAACACTGAAAAGCACTTGCTAGAGAGTACGAAATGAGTCAACGACTTTCAATCTGCGAGTGCATAGAACCTGTTATACGAGTATGCGGCCGATCAAATGCTTTTACTCATTCCTACGATTCCTACAATCACTGCGTTCCATGTATCATCGAGGCAATTTGCAAGCCATAATCAATGATCCGGAACCATCCAATTGATGACAATAAAGATGAATGGAAATAATTCGTCTAAATCTTTAAACAGATGATAGGTAAAGAAATATCGATTTATGTAAAATAATAACTTGGTTTATGCATGTGTAAGAATTTATTAATTACTACAATAATCGGAAATTCCTAAGAAATATTAGTTTTTTAAGTAATATTATACAATATAACATATAACAATAAGATATACTTTTATAAATGTTAAAAATTATTTCTTGAAAAACAATATGTGGTTGTAGAGTTTATACATTATAAAATTCCTCGCGAATAGTCTTTTAATGTTTCTTAAAACATAATTCCTTCCTTTATATGTAAAATATCTCTTGTAGTCGAAGACGAAGAAAAAAATAGGTGACCCTTAAATCGGACCGAAAAAAAAAGAACAATAAAGAAGATTCCCGTCGAGAAGGAAGAGCTAGAGGCGGTTTTGAGCAAAGAAGAAGAATAGATATAAAAAAAACATGCTATAGCTAGAGAGAGCTAAGGGCCTAGTCTCAGCTGAGCTGGTAAAGAAAGGTCTCACCGAAAGTGCGATATAACCCGTAAGGCCTTGATTATATATCTACTAACGGCAAAGCAGAAGGTTATTCGAGAGTATTTCTCTCTCTCTCTCTCTCTCTCTCTCTCGCAATGAAAAGGACAAAGACATCGCTAGAAACAGCTGACTACCGGAATTCGGGGTTCCGGTGGGGTGAGTACAGTGGGGAAGGCACTTGAACCCCCAATTGGACGAGGACTTCCCCATTATACCCAACGTACCCGACGATTTTACACGCACTTGACTCCATTCTACCTATCTAGCAGACATAATTTTGCCAAGGTACACGGCCGATTTTCCACAACATAGCCCGCGCGCGTTGACATTGCACACACGGAAATAAAAAAACTCGTGGAATTTACATTTAATACGAAAATGTATGGAAGCGTGGGGTAAGACTCTAGCAATTTAAAAGCAATTACAAGCGCACATTTATTACTATCATATTCGTTATACAATGCTATTAAATAATAATTTACGCGCGTTTAGCAATTAAGAATCTACGAAAATTGATCACATTAGAAGCGACAACAATAATTTTACATAAAGAAATTTCGAAATATTTTTATCAATTACATGCAATATTTTAATATCGTTTTTTTTTACGATTTTTCTCGATCTTTGGTTGCTATTAATCTTTTTGTCATCATATTTATTCGACCAGAAGGTAATGAAATGCTTTTAGTTTGTCAACGATTGTAAATCTGTTATCTCGGGTTTCGTGATGGATACGTCGTATTTCAAAACGGCGCACAAATAGACTATGCAAAAAATTTCATCGCATTCGGCATGGTAGGATGATAAGCTGTATTCGTCGAATAGAACGTATATCTACATCTTCCGCTTTTTTGTAAACAAAGGAAGGGTGAAATAACTCATCGTGTTGACGCGAACGCAGTAGAAAATTTTTCATTTGTTTGGATTTATTCGTGATACACGTGAAACATTCTATTCTATAATCCCGCACAACTTCTAGGTAATTTGATCGCGTGGAAGCAATTTTAACAATTTAGTCTGGTATAACCAGACAGGCAAGCCTGATCCACCACGCCTTCCCGACCACGTGGTCGTCGCTCCCCACGTTTCCCCTAACCATAGTGGCTCCTATATTTCATCGCGGCTGTTATGATAATAGTCGTATAAGAGAGCATTTATGAATGCAAACTCACCTGCTATAGCCATCCAGGGGTAGAAGGTATGGTTGGTAGTAGGTTGCTGATGTAGTTGCGTGGCGACCGGTTGACTCGCGGTCGAGTTTAAACTGCAGGTGTTCCAAGACGACGTGAGGGATCTTGACGAACTGTTGTTACCAGGACTCGATGCTGGATCACCGCCTACGAGACCACCATAGCTACTGACCCTTGTACTCTCTGGGGTACACGCCGAGGGACGTACGACCGAATTACTCTGGCTGTTCGCTCCCGAGGTCGCTGATTGCCAAACGTCCTTGACCGCCGCCGCTGCCATCACCGCAGCATAGCCGTTTTGATGGGTCGACGTTTGATCCTGTTGCTTACAGTCTTTCGTTGCCGATGTTGAATATGAAGACGTGGTGTGACCGGTTGCCTCAGGTGTCGTCGAGTAAAGTTTGCAGGCCGTCGCAACGCTCGCGTCATATGGCGAGTCTTGAGGTGGTCTTGTGTTACTTCCACCGCCTGGGTGTATTCCTAACGAGGATGATGTGTGATGATGATGCTGCGCCGAAGCGTAGGGCGACATACCTAATCCGAGTGGAAAGCTTCGATACGCTGCTGCGGTGGCTGGATCATGATGCTGACTTGCCGCTCCTGTTTGATGATGGTGGCTTCCGTAGAAGCCACCCGTGGTCTGCTCAAAGTACGAGTTCATTATCCCGGGTATTTTGGATCACTTGCACTAAAACACCGGCACTCGAAAAAGACGAAGAAAGAAGTCAAAGTTCAAACGGCCTGCAACTATACATGGAGTGCACACGGCTAGTCGAATCTTACTAGTCCGTACTCCAACTTCGCGATGCCCCGGATTATTCCGATTTAACTTGTTCAAATTAAACAGACGTAAAACCTCCGAACTTGTACGCGAGATACACTTGAGAAAGCGATTCGCTATTTGACACGGATGTCGGAAGATGATAAGATTGACGAGGGGCAAATAAACGAGCATTAAACAATTTTAAGAGGCCATAAAAGTCATCGGCAGGTATAGCTGGTTACACCCGGAGTGTCAATGTCAGTAGGCCGTGAGAGTGTAATTCAGAATAGATTTCATGTCAACAGTGGGAGCTTTTATGATCCTGTTATGGTTACCGCTACGGGTAAAGCATATAAACTGGTGGTCTCGACTATGGAAACAGGCGATGATCGTTAAACCGTTACGATGTAATAAACTTAGGTAATAAGACGGGCTATAAAATGGCTCGTGGGTTCCTCTACCGCGTGCTCGCCCGACGACGGTTCGGTCAGCCGGCACGCGACCACCCTCACGGGCGGTTCTAGCTCTTTCTTCCTCCTTTTGAAATAAATTAAAATCGCGACTGAGATCAGGTCGAGGCCTCTTCAAGAGCCAGTCGATCTGTCACAGAATCAAAAATGACTCCGCTAGTCCGCACTGCACTAGCACTTGTCGTATCGTGACTTCGCTGATGACTGAGGTCCGGTACGAGTCAGAGGACGATGGAGATCGTAACGAATCACGGTATGCCAGTGCGGTGGTCCACGGCACACTACTGCTTTTCTCGCGCCCCGTGTACCGCCACACTCTGTACCGTCGTCCGTCTCTCGCTCGCTCGTTCACCTCGTTTTATCTCTGTTCTTCGCAGTCGACTTCTCTCGCACTCTCTCCGAAGTTTCTTTCCTCGTTCTACCAATCACCGTTTCTCCATGCACTCTCTCTCTCACTTTCTGTCACGGTCGCTCCTTCCCATTCGGCCGGTCGTCGTTTCTCGCTCACGCGTACTCTTCTTCCTACAGAGTACTACGTCCTAACGGAGAGATCGCAGTGCCGTATCCCTCTTTGTCCCTCATATACCATCCCCCTCCTGGCACGATAACTGAGCTCTCTCGCTCTATCTACCGTCGTTGTTGTCCCCCTCTTCCACCCCCGACGTTCTCCCCACAATTGCTCTCTCACCCTCTGATTCTGCTGTCTCGCTCCACCTCTCAACGATATTCGTTCTCTCCCTTCCCATTCGATCTATTCTCTCCCTCTTTCTCACAATACGATTCCTCAGTGCCCCCTATCGAGCGTACCAGTAACTCAACGACGTACCGCCAGATTAAATTCGTACTCGCTCGCAGTGCGCGTCACATTTGAGACGTGCGACAGATAAGACGGTGCGAGATAGAAAGAGAAAAGAACTTCCCTTCTCGCGATATGAAAGAAAGGGAAGAGATGAGATGGGAAATAGAGAGAGGGATGAAAGCACGTAAAGACACGAGCAGAAACGAATAAGAAGGTGGGGTAGAGGAAGGTAAAGAGGAAAAGAAAGAACGTTATGCGCAATTGCAACAGCTAAGAGCGAGACGAAACGGAGCGAGTGCTGTTGCGATAGTGACGAGGAGGGAGAGAACGTGCCGCTAAGGGAGGAGGTTATACTTAAGGACCAATCAGAATTGAATTCGTCACGAATACCGCGCTGGTGTGGCATGAAAGTTCCTACGCCGTGTGAAAGTAGTTCCAAGTCGGAACGACGCCCATGAACGGCTAGGCACCGCCCCGCAGACTCCCACTACCAGAGCGCGCGCGAGGTACCGGCACGCTGTGTCTGTACCGTACTGGAGAGAGAGAGAGAGAGAGAGAGGAAGAGAGACGGAGAACCGTACGTCACGCAATGTTTCTGCCTTCTCTTTCTCTCCTCTACGCTCGTTCGTGGGGATACGTGTACCGCCACCTTTCAGTCTTGTAGCGAACTAATCTGGCCAGATCCATTCAGACATTCAAACGACCAACATCAACGAGCTATCTCGCGATTATCGTTATTGCGGTAGCATCGTCGTAAATTCATCGTGACACTGAATAACCTGATCGACAAGTTGAATGCTAAACGAGATAGTAAACAGGTTTAGGAATGAAAAGTATTATAAAACACCTTGATTATATATTTAAGATCGCATTAGATCGAACCGGTCTGATATCGAGAATACTTGATGATGCGAGGATAAATGTAATGTGATGTTATCATAAATGCCTTTTATGAGCTATACCGTTGTTTTACAGATCAATTAAATGATGATCGTACAATTAAAATGTCGTAAAAGTGAGCTCATATAAGGCCAGTCGAGCAAGCAACTTCTACGGCGCGCGCCACTAGTATCGGGAGTGTTTATTGGGATGTAAATGTCGCTGGATTATCGTCCCCGCGGTTCGCACCTCGTAAATTATTCCGTAACGAGCCGAGTAATGCCCATCATAAGCTGCGAGCCGGAGCTGACCCTAGTTATTTGCTTACGCGCTCTTGCCATTATAAACGCTTAGAGTATTAGTCACCTGCTATACTTTCAAAAATACACGAGAGATATCTAATTTCGAATATTTTTAATACTTAAATAGATATATATATATAAATATATCAAATGATTGAATCGTTCCAAGTAAACGGAACGACATCCACGACATGTTTAAACAATCTGCTATAGACAATCAACTATAAAAATTAACTGTTACATATCCTGTTTTTTATTATTATGAATAACGTAGATAGTAAATATAAAAAAAATATACTAAAGTTATACTTCCATTAGATATCAGTAGCTTTGCTGTAGGTATACATTACGCGCATCATCGATTGCTACGTTGACAAATCGTACAATATAAATCACATAAAAGCTTATTAAGCTTTTAATTTGATGAGGTGCCGTTGATGAAGACTCAATGCAGTTTTCGCTTTTGCGAGACTCCGACAGGTGGCAGCCCGTTTACTTGAAAATCATGACGGCAATAAACTTCGATTTTATGACCACTTGAACAGAATCGTAAAAGTCAGGGCCTTTAAGCTTATAGCGTAGAAGGGCGCGTGTCGAATATGGTGGGGGCGTGAGGAAAGTCACTATATATGAATGGGGAAGGTATAACGGGCCATATATAGATACTCAAAAATGGGCCTAAATGCTTTTTTTTAAAACGGCGTTTACAGCGACTAACTAATTTCACAGATATCCTTTGGTGTCAAATATCGTTTTAATGATTTGATAAGTTTACCGATAAAAGTCAATTCAAGTGCTTACTATCTGTTTAGTATCGTGCTGTTTCGATAAATTCTGTCATCATGATAATGTAGTCTAATTTTAAATGACAAGTTAGCGTGCCAATTAAGTATACAAATTCAGTGGTTTGTATTATTATAATATCCTAATATTTTACATAACAAAATAGAAACAAATATTATCAACAGAGGCACAAATATCATCGCATACTATTGACATAAAAATACATATGAATATAATATGACGTACATTCTATGGATCTTCAATAAAAGCCAAAGCAATGAAACAAAAATAAGGATTAGGAGACGTATGAAAAGACGAACATGAATACGAAGAGGCCATTGCACCCGAGTCGGACAAATCTGTGCTCTTGCTAAGCATTCATTCCTCACCCCTCTGATGATTTTGGCTCGTCCACTTTCCTCCAAGCAGTGGTTCAATGCACTGCTTGGTTGAAGCTAATTCCTTCTTTCTCTCTATTTCATCGCTCTTTATTTGACACATTCATACTCATTTACAAATCGTATCTCTGTTTTTTAATTTAATTCAATAACATTTAATTAATATCTAAACATAATACTAACATTTTAAGATGAATATTATATTGGTACCTTTTTTTCAAATGAATGAAATATTGTGAGATTTAAAATGCAAAACATGTATATGTGTGTGACATTAAAAATAAATTGGATATTTTCTTATAAAACAATGAATTATGTCTTACTGAATTTTTAAAAAATTTAAAAAGCACAATGTTAAATATAGCATCTAATTTGAAGATAATATGAATAAATAAAAATTTCTTTGATTATGGGAGTATTAATAATATAAAAAGTAAAATCTTAACAACTTATTTTAATTATATAATAATTTAATTTTTACTGATACTCTAAATATAATCTAAAATGAATTGACGTATTTTTACAATAGCCTTTCCAACTAGACAGTATCATTCTTAAAATAATAATTAATTAAAATAATAATATCATTCTTGTTTAATTACACCATCAACAATTAATAAATTTAAAAGGAAATAAAATTCAAAATAAATTAGAAAAGCTACGAACCGAAAACAATGTGTATTATTGATATTGTTTTGTAGCCCTTCTAATTTATTTTAAATTTTATTTTTGTTGAGCCATATTATTATTACTTTGTATTAAAAAAAATATTATTCATTAGCACACTACATATTGATCGACAGCGCATCAGGAATAGAATCGTATAGTAAGGATTCGGAAGATGCTTTCTTTGCCATCTGGTGGTCCTTCGTGTCATCACCTGATTGCAAAAGTTGCATCGAATTTTCTGTAATTTTCGCAGTCGATAGAAATTGAATAACCATCGATGCATATATATAATATATAAAATGTTATATAAATTTTGTCTCAAAAATTCTAAATTTAAACTATTACTGCTGCCATCGTTATAAACAAGACAGTTGTCGCTATCCATTTTCACGTTGCATATAAATTATAAAATGCATTTATAAATTATATAAATTTAAACTATTACTGCTGCCATCGTTATAAACAAGACAGTTGTCGCTATCCATTTTCACGTTGCATATAAATTATAAAATGCATTTATAAATTATAAGATAAAGAGTATAATATTTATACGTTAATTTTTTTACAATACAAATTAATAATAACTAAAACAAGAATA